CTCTGGGGTCTACCTGCATGGGTTCGGACAGGCCGGGGCAATAGCTGGCCAAATGCCCTTCTTCCTGACAATTAAAACATCGCCGGGTTTCTTTCCATGGCCGGGGCCTCGAGTCAGACCTCCCCCGAAGGGGTTTTTTAAATTGTATAAGTTCCGGGTAATCACTATACTTCATTGGCCGATACTCTATTTCGGTTTCCAGACTCTTGGGGGTTCTTCTCTCCTCCTTCCGAAAATCCCCCTTTTCCTCCCTAATCAGGGCCTCCGTGGCATGGTGTCTGTCTACCAAGTCCACGGCCCGATCTAGTGTCTGGGGATCCCCTTCACTTACTTTCCTTTTCAAGTGCACAGGCAGACTCCTCACAAAATGATCCAACACCACCCTTTCTACCACCTGTCCTGGGTTTAATTCTTCTGGCTGGAGCCATTTCTTTGCCAGATGTACCAGGTCAAACATCTGAGACCTCGTAGGCTTGTTCACCTGGTAGCTCCAATTGTGAAACCGGACTGCTCGTATCGCCATGGTTACCCCTAGTCTTGCCAATATCTCCAGAGTCTCATAATTCTCTGCATCTTTTTCTTTTAAATCATAATATGCTTTTTGGGCTTCTTCAATTAAATAAGGGGATACTCTCCCAGCCCATTGCTCTTTGGGCCATGCATTTCGAGATGCAGTTCTTTCAAAGGTGGTTAAATATGCTTCCACATCATCAAACTCAGTCATCTTTTGTAGCGTAATTTGTTCCGCCTGAGTGGTGCCTCTCCCCTCTACCGGGGCCTGCCGGATTTCTTCCCTTAATCTGTACAATTCTGCGCGTACTAATTTTTGCTCCTCTATAATTCGTTCGTTAGTTTCGCTTTGGATTTGGTTCGCCTCCCGTTGCGCTTCGATAGTTTCTTGTTGTCCTTTTAATGCCTGGAATTGGGCAAGGGTGGCCTGGGACAACTGCTGTATCAATTGTTCCATAGTTTTTCTTTACACGCACAAAGCGAAACCCGCACACACACACACAACACGAAAAAAACAGTACAGTACCGAGACCAGCCATATACAATTTACCTAATACTGTATGTTTATGTTCCAAAATTTATATAGTTTATGACCTTCACACGCATTATGCTCCTATTCTTTTTATGCTACTAAAATTTCCCTTCAGTGTTAAAATTCCATATAAATATTCAATACTAAAACATGCACAGTAAAGACCTTAAATATACATATACATACTGTATACAGTACAGTTTGTATACAGTTATATGTTTATGTTCCTAAATCAATATCTTTTATGAGCATGTGACAGGCATGGTGAATCTGAGATTCTCAAAAATGACTCTACTTTGCATGATTGGAAACAGTTGCGTGATTGGATCAACAAAATGTTGCGGTGTCACTTTTACAAAGACGGTCAATGAAAAAAAAATCTTTTCATTTATAAAGACGGTTACAAAGAATGTGGACCAGGACAATACTTTGAGTTTACAGCTTGTCCAAGGTCATTCATTATTAATACTATTAGTAATATCTTCTGTAAAGACTTTGATGGCGACAGCTCAAACATGAGAGGTTGAGCTTAATTAGTTCCACCTTGCATAAATTCAGGATACTATTATTTTACTTGCAGTAATACCATGCGGTATTATGCGAGAATATACGGCATTATGCACTAACGAGTTATACCGCGACAAGCGCACCACATCATAATGCGGTTTCGTCCACTTGTTTTGAATGGCTGCAAATGTATGTGAGAGTCAAAGAAGCACATTTTTAAATAAAACAAAAAAATTTAAACAGAAGGACAATGGTACTTGAAATACAGTAATAAGCTTGCATGTGTTATGCCTGCGCTAATTTTGAGATTATCATGGTGTTATATAAAAGATATAAAAAAAATATTCAAAAGCTTTGTGGAACGTGTCCCAGACTGCTACTATTTAATGGGGAGTGTTGGGATTATCTGTAGCTTGAGAGAAGGGAAAGTTTGCTACTTCAGAAGAGATGACACATTGAGCGGAGTGGTAGCGAGGAGGAGCTGAAAGAAAATTGAACCGTGATGTTTATTGATTTCATTCTTTCTCAAAAAGAAAAAAAATTCCCCCAAAAGACTAAAAAGTTATTAAATGTGTATATTCACACACCTATGCAGTCATACTGTAAAATCACACATTTCTGAAAGATTACTAATAATTTACTGTATTAAACATCCTTTAAATATTTTCAAACATATATTTTATTATTACAGAAACATTAATATAATATATGCATATTGTATATATAGTATATTATATAGTACATAAACTATGTATGGATATTTCAGAATAGCTCGTAGAATAGAAAAGTCTTTGCTTACCATCTATATGCAGTGCCAGCCATGACAATACTATCAAACCCAAAGAGATGAGCAGAGAAACCGACAAAAGTAAGGAGAGGATAATTTCACAAGAAGAGAAGTTGCACCTGTTCATTCTTCTTTGCATTTTTAGTGTAATCCAGACAGATTTTAAACTAATCAACAGTTACTCTGCAAAGAAGAAAAATGTCAAGTTCTGTTTCTGTAAGCCAGATCAGTACTAAATACAGTATCAAACAAAAGCTGCTGACACTCTTCTCATAATTGTTAAAACAACATGATAACCTTTTGGAATAAAAGGACTTTGTTACTTATTAATAAACTTCAAGGACACCTTGTAGAAATGATGACTGTAAATCTTAACACATATGAACCCTGTTATGTTTATTAACAACATCACCAGTGTGTGATAATGTTGGGTGATGGGAGTAAGTCATAGTTAAAAAAAGGATATAAACTTTGACAAACATAGTTGGAAATTGTAAAAAAAATAATGACACTTAAGAATTAAGAAGAATTGTAGCAACTCATTTGGTCTGATATTTTACAGTGTATTTCTAGACTTTCTTCTAACTTATAAGGAAATATTATTGTGACTTCACTAACAAGTCTAATAATAAAAGAAGTATAAAAAGTGAAATTCTAGCTACAATTATTTTAAAAAGTTATATCTATGTTACTGTACAATCTCATATTTGCAGTGTTGAGCATGAAATGCTAGTGAGGCTTCTGAAAATGGTTGACTTTGTTAATTTCAACTACTAAAAGCTAATTCATAGAACCTTGAAATACATTAAAATACTGTGTATTATTAACAGTAGATGGTATTGACAGTTAGTAGTATACTCTCTAAGAAGGTGGAAACTTTTTATGGTGCTGTATGTTAGTTTCTGGTAGAGTAAGGCTAATTATATTTAATGTGATTGGTACCACCTTACCCAATATCCAGTATTGATTTATATAACAGATTAACATATTGTTAACTAAGTGGGTATATTTTATTCTTATTATCCTCTCGTCTCCAGTGTTTTGCATGAAAATATAGATTTCTAAGAACTTTTTTTTGTCGATTTGTGTTTTTAAGAATGTTAAGTGATATTGTTTGTAAGTTTGCATGTGCCTGGGTTTCACATAGTAGTTATGCTCTGAAGATTTGACTAGACTAGAAACCACCATTTGAACAGCCCTGAAGCTTTTCATGGATTGATTTGAATTTGAATTTGAAAAGAAGGAATCATTTTATGATTTTTTTTAAATAACATGTAATTACAGGCTTGCTCAAAGTCCAATATTCTGAAGCTTGTGTTTGAGAAATGTGTTATCTATAACAGGGGAAGCAAAACTTTGCAGCACAAGCTCTGTTGCTGCACTGTGACTCACTGATTATTGTCAAAGCAAGGATTCGCCATCGTTGTATTATTTTATTTAACGTTATATAACAGTTACAAAATACAGAAAAAATGTGTATTGACTTATCATGGATAATAAATGATTATGATATGCTTAAGTTAGTTTGACTAAATCACATAAGAACATTATTTTAAAAAAAAAAAACAAGAGCTAGTCAACTGACAAAAGATCACAACAGCTGTTTCCTGAAAAAAGCCAGGGTATAAACTCCAACAACATGACTGTGTAGCTTGTGTTCTTAATAGGCCTTAAAATTAACTTAAAACTAGCTCAATACAGTAGCAAACAGATGATATACTTTTAAAAAACAAGTAGTGAAACAATAACTTTACATGATGAAGATTTCAAAACATACAGAATATTGTGCATTTTTAACAAATATCTTTATAAAATCTAATCATTCTTTAATGACTTTAATCATTCTGAAAATTTTAACATTTTAACATTAGGGCAACAATCCAACAATTCTACTTTAAGTGCAGAGTTCTGCACTGAGTATGTACTTTTGCCTTTGAGCCCCACTATTATAATTCTCAGATGATTAATTCTGGACTTTGTACATCTTTTATCTTTTGTTTTATAATAAAAATCTATTTTGTAATAGACATTTTTATTCCAAAGGTGGTTTTTAAATCATAAAATAAGAATTGAACTTGGAATTTTCTGGTTTAGAAATTCTAATGAGGTGAATGACACTGAAATCTACAAAGAAATATAAAAGAAAAAAACATTATACTGGAGAGCTGTCATGTTCAGTGGTGTTAAATCTGTTTTAAGCAAATTATATGGTTTGTGTATCATGTCTGTAAATTGGACTACCAGCATCTATCCAGTTCATTATCAAATTCCTGGGTTTGAAATGAAACATTGAGAAACGAAGTCAAGATGGGGCTGTTAAGAAAGCAACGAAGGGGTCTATTATGTACTGTGCCTTAGAAAAGTATTCATCCCCTGGCAATAATACAACATTTTGATTAATTACAGTACAAGTATGATTGTTAACAAACATGGGGTCAGGAAGTGTTGTGTTATGTAAAATGTAAGTCAAACAAGTTATTTTTATTCTCTGGCAAGATCTAGTGATAGAGTAATAAATTTTAAATGTAACAATACATGGTGTATTGTTGTATATTTGATAAATAAACTTTGATTTGATTTGATTTGAATCTTGGCTGCCTTTTCTATATTTTGCACCATGTATGTTCTCCATAATCCTGACAATCTTCCCAGCCTTTGCAGAGAGGAAACATAACATGATGTTGCAACCATCAAGTAAGGGAATGAACTTGACTTGGTTAGGAGATTTGTTGGGCTTGTGTCTGGTGATCATATTTACAGCAAAAAAGTTACATTTTCCTTGAGAACTGGCTCATCTGATAATGCATGGCTGCCTTCAGAATTGGTAAACTTGTCTACCATAACTGATGGCAGTTACAGAAAGAATTCTAAGGTTTACAGAAATATATATTTTAAACTTTTTATGTAAAGCAACCATTATTTGTTGGCCTGTGCTTCACCATGCTGCATAATGATAATCCACAATTTAGACCCAATGCAATCAAGTTCACCAGGAAAAAAAAGTGTACAATCTTTGACTGACCAAGCCCACAACCAGATTTAAATCTAACTGAGCATGCATTGTACATGCTAGGGTGAAACTTGAAAAAAAAATGCTCAAATATAGGCAAGAACTCAAGGTGGCTGTGGCATAGGCCCATCAAAGAATCTCAGATGAGTTTGGTGGTTAAATGTGTTGCAGTTCCTTTGCAGCAGGATGGATCTGAGCAAACAGAATGGGAAACATACCTGAAAAACAACCAAGAAAACTATAGAAAATAAAATAAATACTCTGAGAAAAAAAAATAAACTACTTAAATATAAACCTACTAAGATGCTTAATAAGATAATATGTTACTGCATGCTTTTCACAATTGTGTCCTTTGCAGTCATTGGCGTTTTCACTTTCTTACCCTCTGTGTTTCTTTTCTTAAAACAGATTTCACAGAGGTGAAAAAAGAGAATGTCACAATTGTCATCCCTCCTCTAGAGGGCGCTCCAACCCTTTTGTATTTGAGTTTCATTATCACGTTCACCTGCCCCTTGTTTCCTGTATTATTTAAACCCTGTGCCCCCAAAGCTCAGGGCTCTGCATTGGAAGATGGACGCCCAGAGGCCCACCTAGCATCAAGTGAGCCTGGGTCTCGGAGAGCCTGGCCTCGTCACTCTACTTTTAACCTCCATGCTCCTTATTCCATGTCCCCGTTCCTTGTTTTTATTCTTGCCGTCGTCTCGGATGGACCTCCCGGTTTTGGATATTGGTTTCCCTATTTGGACTGTTTTAGACTTGTTCGCCTGCACCACGATCTCCGAGCACTATATCACAGCCGTCATACCCTTCAATCTGTCATTCCATCGTGATTCTGCCGTCATTCCCTCAGTGTCCTACTCCAGTCACTTTTGGATTATACTGTCTGCACAGGGTCCTAAACTGCGCACTTCACGGGAGTCAGGACCATCTCCTGTTATGGAGAATGTATGAATTATTTGGCTATTTATCTTGATCCAATACTTGGTCCACATAAGAAAGATTACAGATGGCATTTAATGTTTCTTGTTTGTTTAGTTGCTCATTATACTTTGTGTAAGAAAAGTTCTGTTTTAAATACACCTCCCTGTATCTTCCACTTGTGTTTCATTGTTTAATTAGAAGAAGTCAACCTGAGATTACATTGTCCATGACTTTAATACAGTAAGGTTTCAACTTTTTGAAATTTGCAATAACCCTGTGTACAATTTTCCCTTAAGGCATTAAGTAAATAAAGGGGCAAATGCTATAAAACACTTCCAGAGAAATGTCATTTTATAATTGTCATAAATGCTAGATAAAAGTAAAAGGTAATAATTAACTTGGAAAAAATATAAACATTAATCTCATATTCACAGTCCCTGAATCTGTAACAGATGATCATGATGATGAATACTGCTGTACAGTACAATGGCTGATGGAGATGATGATGAACTGTACTGTACAGCATAATGAAGTGATGTTATAGCATTTTTGTAAGGTCCTCTTCCTCCATTCCTAGTGGGAGGCAATCAGGATCAAAATCAAAGGAATGCCATAGTATTTGATATTAGTGTGTGTGTGTGTGTTCATTTCTTGCATCTGCATTTCTTGTGGTGCCACAAAGATTAGAGTAAAGGTGAACCTCAAGGAGAGATAAGAGTTGCACAGACACAGCCATAAAACCATTTGGCCATGAACAAGGTAGACCTCGTGATTCTGAAATCAAGAGAAGTGATTCCCCAACACCAGAGACAAGGTCTGTATTGTTTTTGGGCCACTACTTTACAAGAATGCAAGGAAGGACTTTTGTTAACCTTCAGCTTCAATAAACAGGGCAAACATATCTTAAAGTCATCCTTTTACATATGCTATGTTCTAAAATCACCATTCTGTTGATATTAAATGAAGAAATAACATGGCTTTACTCACAAAAGAAAGAAACATAACCAGCTTCATTAAACCTAACAAAAGAACATATCTGCTCAAATGCTCATAGATATCACTTGGTTAGTCTTAAATTGAAAAGCTGTTTATAATAAAACAAAAGGAACAGTCTGAATTCTGATTGCAACCAGCATTACTAAAATAATTTAGAATTCAGAGAATAGAGCACTCTGCCTCATCCACATTGTCTGAGGGTCCAAGTTTGTAAAACCGAGTCACCTCTCTAGTGGCTAATTGAGTATACAACCCTTTTCCATTGGCTATAAAGCAAATCAGAATT